GGGGCAGGGAGGTGTGCCCCATTTTCGCGCCGCCACGGCGGTATTTTGGGCTCCAGGGTCCCCGGATCCTCCGCGGAGAAGCGCAGCCACCCATATGGGACCGTGGGGCCCCTCCGAACGGGTATTTCTTCCGGAGTCTCAGCGGCAAACGCCAGTCAGCCCGAGATTCCCCCCCGCAGCCTGCAGCCGGTGGTACGGTCCTCTCCGCGGCGCGGCGCGGCCAGCCCCTTAAAGGGACCGCCTGGAGGACGCGGACGGGACTGAGTGGGTGGTTCCCCGTTCAGCCGTGAGGAGGTGCTGTGGACCCCAAGGCCTTGGCCGGGAGTAGCTGCGAATCTGGCTCTGCACTCCTGAGTGTAGCCCTAGCCCTGGGGTCCCTTTGTGTGACCAGAGCCGATCTCCAAACTCCCAGGACAGTAAACCCCTACGGATCAGGGCTCTCCTCCCCGGTCCAGGGTCTGAAGGGGAGCCCCGCCCCCTGCCTGACCCGAGAAGGGGGCCGAGTGCCCGCCTCTTCGCCCTTTCTGGGCTGGGCCGAGGCAGTGGTTGTCTTGGCAACACGAGCTGTGGGTCTCGGCTCGGCCCGCCGGCGGGGGGGTAGGGCATCCCCCTTCCTGCGACCTGCACCACCGGGAGGCCAATCCGTGGGCTCCCGTCCCCTTCTGCCTTGTCTCGGGGGGTGGGGGGCTGTGGGAGGCCCCAGTGCTTCCTTTCAACCCTGAGGCTGCCACCCTTGCAGAAGTTCCCCGTGGGACGGCGGAGAGCGCTGGATCGGCCAGAGGGGCTCCCCCAGGTCTCCACCCGGTGTCCTGAGCCCCTTTTCCCCGCCAGCCCCTCCCGCTGGGTAGCGGGCTTGCAGCTGGACCGCGGCGAGACCTCCTCGCCTCTTCCTACACCCGCTCCCCGCGCGGTGCTCAGCTACCCGAAGGGCCGGGGTCTCCGCCACCAGCCCCTGCCCCGCTCGCAAGCAGGGGGGAGGAAGGGCGCGCGGCTGTGGGCGCACCTGTGCGGGTGCAGACCAGCCGTCCGCGGTGGGCTCACCTGTGTGGGATCTGTCGGAGCCTCAGGAGGTTAGTGGCCTCCCTCCTTCTCCAGGTGCGCCTCCGCAGCCCAGCTACTCACGCCCGCTGCTGCCCGGTGGGCAGCCCGCCGGCGACTTGATAAACCCCATGCCTCCCATCCTACCCGCTCCCGCCTCCCACCCAGCCCTCTCTCCGCACTTCCTGCTGCCCCTTGGAGAGGAAAGGGCCAGGAATGGCGCGGGGGAGGGGACCGTTTTGACCCTGTTTCCCTACAGGCTGGCTGTCCTCCCCACCCTTCCCCCCTAGGTCCTGGCCAGGGCGAACTGCGCCAGGTGACAGGAAGGCTGTGGGATCCCACTCAGGTGCCAGCCTCCCCCCTGCCCACAGCTTCCTTAACACTGAGAGCTCTTCTCCCCAACTCTCCCTTGGGGTGGAGACCCATCCTAAAATCCATAGCGTCGTGTAAGAGCCCCAGTGGTGGGGGTTTGGGGAGTCAGACTGCTTGCGCAATGGTTGGCTAATGGTTCCCCTAAGCAGGTGATGAAGGGAAGAGGGGTGTCTGGGGGAGGGGTTGAGAGAAATTCCAGGAACTGAGTCAATTCTTTTCCACTGAGAGCGGAAGTGTCCCAAGTGTGACAAACAGACAATATGTTGATGTATGTGACTGTGGGGGGTGTGGATGGGGCAGGGGCTGGGAAGGTTTTCTGCAGGATGCTCTCCTGCTGAGGGACATTCCTGGGTGGATTTCACTGAAACTCTGCAGAGTAGGGGGCTCCTTACAAGTGGGAAGTAGGTGCCCATAATGCGGCTGGCAGTAGGGAGACTGTAGCAGGGTCCCAGTGAAGTGTGGACAAATTTGCACACCCTGAAATCATTGAACCTACCCCCTCCCCCAGCTTTTACCCTACTCACCCACTTCCCTGATGCCAAGGGCCTCTTTCCTAACAGAGGCTGTGTAAAATTAGGGGCCTGGGGGAGTTGGCACATACCCTGGAGTCTGCCCCTGAGGACCAAGGAGTCCAAGACATGGCATGGGAGGGTCTCCTGTACCACTGTGCTGGCTCAAGGGACACGGGCTTTGAAAGCTTCAAAGGTGGGGCCCCTGGGGAAACAAAGACCAGGCCAGACTGTCCCAGGGCAGGGACACTTCCTCAGGCAGCCAGCAGGAAGGAAGTGAGCACGGCCCAGTGGGAGGGAGTGGGGAAGCAGTGACCTGACCCCCATTGTTTTTAGCTTTGGGGTCAGCTGGGGCAGGCCCAGCACAAGGAGTTCTCCCACACTGGGACAGTGGTGATGGGAGATGGGATGCTATCTGGCAAGATAGAACCCTGTCCCTGGGGCAGTCAGTAGGCAGGACAGCAGAGGATGACAGGACTTTATGTCTGATATCTTATTGGGAAAGTGCCCAAAGAACTAAGTCCATGTTGCACAGTGCAGTCCTGTCCCAGACTTTACAAGTTTAACCCTCCAAAAGACTAGTGGGCCAACTCCCCAGACCCAGAAGCCTGTGTGCTTGAAGTCTCTCCTCCCTAACTGGGAGTTGGGCTGATGGCCAAGGGCTGGGCAGAGCAATAAACCAGCCTCATAGCAGGGTGGCAGGGAACACAGGAAGTACTGGGTGGCTGAGCTTTGTCTGCTGGAACAGGGGCTCCAAGCCCATTCTCCTGGTGGTATCCACAGGCAGCCCTGGGAGGAGGCAGGTGAATATGGGATACAGAGCCTGGAAGTAGACCAAGGGCGCGGTGCCACCCATGTGGTTGCTGTCCACCTAAGGCTGGGCCTTGGAAGTCAATAGGGTTCAGGTTGTGGCCTCATGTAGGGTCAGCTGGCACTGCTGGGGGCAGGACAGCTGCTCCAGACCTATCTGAATCACACTCTCACCTCAGGTTAAGCAGGTGAGGCCAATCCCTAATGAAGCATCCCAAAGGCTTTCAATTTCAGGGGTACCCACCTATTGAAAACAATATAGACGAATGATCCTCCATCCTGAGGGGCCCTGTGGTGAGGTCTGTGTGAGTACAATGCCACCTGCTGGTCATGACTGGGATGGCTGCAGACTGTGCTCAGACTTGTCTTTGGCCTTGCTAGAGATTT